ACATGTGTCCTTCCCCTCCGCCCTTATTCTGTTCATAATTCATGTAGCAGAAACCAGTATTAAGTGGCCAGTGAAAAGGAATATTGCTAAACCTTGCAATTGCAATGAGTGAAAAATAAAAATGAAGGTCCTGATAAGTTAAGAAACGGAAGCATAAGCACATGCACAACACCAAGAGGGAAGGAAACTGCGCAAGTTCAGAAACCGGAAGTGACTTTCAGGAAAACTGCCCGGGGGTGGGGGGCGGCAGGGGCACCACTTCGTCCATCCCTGGCTCCTCCTTACTGTTCCATCTGCGGGCCTGTGCAAATAGCATCTTGATAAGTATTTTTAAATAGCAAAATGTTGAACTCCAATCAAATATAAAATTAGTTTTTATTTTAAGCATATTTAAACACTAACCTCTCCAGCCACCGAGAGGATTGAGCCAGGCGGTGCGAGTCACTCTGGCAGGTGTGTAAGGAAGACCCGACTTCAAGTGCAAGATGCTCCTTGTTCTTGGAAGCAGGACCCGCCTCCTGCGCGGGGCTGGGCGGTGGCGCTACAGCGCTCTCTGCTGGACAGACGTGCACACTGCGCCGTCAGGGCTGACTCCAGAGCGTTAACCTCCCCGTCCAGCCTTGGGCGCGGAGCTGGGTGGTTTCCTGACCCTCACCACCTACTGACGTTTACACGAAGATTTAATTTTAAACACAGTGAGGGGCGTCTGGGGGGCTCAGTGGGTTAAGCCTCTGCCTTCGGCTCAGGTCATGATCTCAGGGTCCTGAGATGGAGCCCTGCATCAGGCTCTCTGCTCAGCAGGAAGCCTGCTTCCTTCTCCCCTTCTCTCTCTGCCTGCCTCTCTGCCTACTCATGATCTCTCTCTGTCAAATAAATATTTTTTTTAATCTTAAAAAAAAAAGACACAGTGAACACCTTGGGAGTTTCCACTGTGCATTAAATTAATTTCCTGCATCCGAGGACTTGATCAGACCCTACTTAATAGCTGTGGGTTCTTCAGGATGATCTTAGGCAGCAAGCCTTAATTTGTGTTCTTTTCCACAATAGGGTCAGTCAGTCCTAAATATGTCCGGCACTCCTCTGGGTGTCCCCAGGACCCTCCCAGGGGCCCTACGGGGTCAAAACTGTTTTCATAATAATGCTGAGCCATCAGTCACCACTTTCCCTCTGCTGGCATTTGTACTGATAGTGCAAAACCAACATCGATGAGCCCCCTGGGGCACAAATGCAGGTACAGAGCAAGGCAGAGGCGTTGAAGTCTCCCAGAAGTCACTGTGGTCTTCACCACCCTGCACTCACAGTGAAAAGGAAAAGAGAACAGCGGATGGCATCCTGCAATTTCCAATTAAGGGTAACCCACAGTCCTTGGTGGGGCTATTAATTGCTGTTAATTGTATTAAATCTCAGTCCTAGAGCTGACATCTTTCCAATAGTCTGTGTGACAAAAGGCACTTCTGCTGCCAAAGGCTGATGATGCCCCAAGGAAAAGCCACCGGACAAGTGACTATGAGCCAAACCAGCCATTTCTGTCAAGAAACACTGCTTGAAGGAACAAGGGACAAATGACGATTATTCAGACTTGGGGAACTGGCAGGCATTTTCTCAAAAATGATCGGCGCGAGATGGTTGTATCCAGGAAAACAGCCGACTGATGTGGTTGCCAATACATTTTCAACCAAAGAAGAATTACAGTTTTGAGCTTAGTGGTGATATTAACCAGTGTGATTTTTCAATACTGTGTCATGAAGCATGTCCACATTTGGAACATCTGCCAAGTCAGTGGACCAGTATTTTCCAAGTGACAAAGCCACGCATGTAGGGAACAGATCCATTCAAATGGCCAGAGAGAACAGTGGTTTTTTTAATTAGTTGTGTATTTTTTATCAAGGTCAAATTCACGTAACATAAAACTCGTCATTTTAACCACTTAAAAGTATATGATTCAACAGCACTTAGTACATTCTCAATGTTGTACAATCCTTACCTTCTTTAGTTCTAGAACATTCTCATCAGCCTGTAAACTGGTAACCCTGATGGGTTAGCAGTCACCCCTCCCCGCCATTCCCTCCTCCTTCAACCTCTGGTAACTACTCTGCTTCCTGTCTCTAGATTTTCCTGTTCAGGACATTTCATGTAAACGGCATCATGTACTGTGTGGTCTTTCGTACCTGGTTTCTTTCACTGAGCATCATGCTTTCGAGGCTCACGCACGTGGTAACATGTACCACTACCTTTTTGTGGATGCATAGTGTTCCATTGTATAGATAGACCATGTTGTGTTTATCCAATCATCTGACCAACCTTAGTATTTTTCCAGGTTTTTGCCTTGGTGAATATGCTGCTGTGAACATTCGTGTACACATTTTTCTGAACACACCCAGGCGCGGAATTGCTCAGATTTAATAGTTTAACTGAGTTTATGTGTCACATTTCGAGGAACTGTCGGACTGTTTCCCACAGCAGCTATGCCATTTTACATCCCACCAGCCATGTGTAAGAGTTCGAGTGTCTCCGTATCCACACCGACACTGTTTTTTTCTTTCCTTTCTTTCTTTTTTAATAGCCACACTAGTGTGTGTTAAGTGGTATCTCCCTGTGCTTTTCGTTTGTATTTCCCTAATGACCAAGGATGCTGAACATCTTTTCTTGTGCTGCTTGCAGACGTGTCTGTTCAAGTTCTTTGCCCATTTTTTTAAGTGGGTCTTGGTCATTTGGTTGTTGAGTTGTGAGAGGTCGCTATATATTCTGGATACAAGACCCTTATCAGATATACAGTTTGGAAATATGTTCTCCCATGCTGTGTCTTGTCTTTTCACTTTCTTGACAGTGTCCTTTGCTGTACAGAAGTTTTTAGTTCTGGTGAAGTCCCATTTTTTTTTTTTTTTATCTTTTGTTGTTTGTGCTTTTGGTGTCATGTAAAGAATCCATTGCCAAATCCAAGGTCATGAAGATAAACCTATTGTACATGACTGCCTTATGTCTTCTTCTAATCATTTTATGGTTGCTGCTCTTACATTGAGTTCACTGATTCCTTTTGAGTTGATTTTTGCATATATTGTGAGGTAAACAACTCCATTTGTTTGCGTGTGGAAACCCATCTATCCTGGCACCGTTCGTTAGAAAGTTTACTCTTTCTCTGTTCAGTGGTCTTAACACCCTTGTCGAAAATCCATTGACCATAGACATACAGGATTATTCCTGGATGTTTAATCCCATTCCATTGACCTATGTACATCTATATGTCTGTCATTATCCCAGTAATGTTTCATTTTCTGCAGCTTTATAGTAAGTTTTGATTGAAATCAGGAAATGTGAGCCTTCCAAATGTGTTCTTTTTCAAGATCGTTTTGGCAATTCAGGTTCCCTTTAATGCCGTACAAATTAGGATCAACTTGTCCATTTCTGAAAAAGCAGCTGGAAATTTAGTAGAGAATTTGGATAAGCATTGTGTTGATCAGCTTGGAGAGTATCACCATCTAAATATTAAGTCTTCTGATCCATGAACATAGGATGTCTTCTCTTTATGTGGGTCTTCTTTAATTTCGATCAGCAATGTTACAGGTTTCAATGTATAAGTATTTTACCTCATTGGCTAAATTTATTCCTAGGTATTTTATTTTCTTTGGTGCTGTTGCAAATGGATTGTTTTCTTTATTTCATTTTCCTATCATTCATTGTTGAGAAATGTAACTGATTGTTGTATGTTGATCTTGTATCCTACGAATCTGCCAGGTTTGTTTATGCATTCGTCGTTTTTTTGTGGCTCCTTCTGGATTTTCTATGTCTAAGATCATGTTGTTTGCAAACAGAGATAGTTCTACTTCTTCTTTTCCAATATGGATGTCTTCTATTTCTCACCGTTGCCAGACTGCCCTGGCTAGAACTTCCAGTAGAGTGTTGAGCAAAAGTGGCGACTGGACATACACGGTGGCGGTCGGAAGAGGTGATGGGCAGAGCAGGATCCCTCTCTTTCCTGCGCTCAGCCCCAGGAGCCCTGTCCAGCTGCTCTTTCCAAAATACGTGTTCCACCTGCTTTTTGCACATGCATCACTGAATGAAGTCTGCCTTCCCAGCGTGTTTGAGGATGGTCATGGTGTGCCTTGGGTTTATTTCCTTTCATTGCAGTTCTCTGCCTGTCGTGGTGGGCTCCAGCAGATTCCCCACTTCCACTTAACATGTACAAGGGGACGTCAGATTCAGCACACACAAATGTGGCAGGGGCCGCACACAGCCAGGTGTTTCCTCCTGTCCAGCGGCCTGCTGGACCACCTCAGCTCCCTGCTTCCATGAGGTCCTCGGAACCCAGATCAGAAGCCCCTTCCCCAGGAAGACCTCCCTGTTAGTTCCCCGTGACTGTCCCTGGGACTTGTTCTCATTCCTACGTAAGCTTCTCTGCCCAGCCATGCTTTGTAAACCTTCAGGAGTGTATCTCCAGGACGCGTCCAGTGGTCCCAGGGTTTGACACCTCTCAGTGGCAGGGCCAGGGTCTTTGGCCGCGTTGGTATTTTCCTGGAGCGCCCAAGAGGGAGACCCTGGGCTCTGGGCCAGGACAGGCCAGCCGGGAAGTCAGCATTGCCACTAGCTGTCCTTGGGTGGACAGCGGATTCTCCGCAGCAAACAGCGATGGGTCCAGGGGAGCAGTGGGGTGGTCGTTCTGCTGGCTTTGCTTCTACCTGGACCCCCGCCTCTGCTCGGGGTTCACGCAGACATGCTGAGCTGCAGCAGCCCCTGTTTGCAGACCGCTTCCTTGTGCTGTTGGCGCCCCCGCCCTGGCTCCTACGCTCAGCCGCATGTCAGGAGTCGCGCCCCGCTCCCCGCAGCTTCCCCCACAACCCTGCACCTAACCACACCCCCGCACCCGCGTCAAGCCTTGTTTTTATCTTGTAGGTGCTTGAATCATTATTTGGATATTAATAAAAACCGATCTTGGCTGATGCTAACCATCTGATTTCCTTTTTTTTTTTTCTGTCTTGTTTTGTTTCTGCACACATTTTCTTTAGCTTGAAATGGCGATTGAAAACCTCCAAAAAAGCGAAGGGATCACTTCACACAAAAGCGGTTTACTCAACAGCCATGTAAGTGTGTGTCCACCTGGTGGCCTGCCCCGCCACTCTCGTAACCTTCGTAGGCGTTTTAAAAAGCAAGCGAAGGCCATGAAATGACCCCTCTCGGGCGCTGAGAGGAAGGGAGAAAGCCCACCTAGAATGCTTCATCCAGCCAAAAAAACAAAAACAAAAACCTTTGAGCAGCGTGAGGGAAAGGGTCCTGCCTCTGAGCAGGTGGCCGGTAACAGCACGTACCCTCCCAGCACTGACGGAGGGAAGCATGAGAGCGGGCAGGCGACAGGTGTCATAAATAACGTGACACTAAGAACAGGCAGGAACCACAACAGAGAAGGTGGTACTCGGAGCGCCTTAATGACTCTTAGCTGTGTTTCCCGTCCGTGAACAGCTCTTTGGGGAAAAGAATAATAACACTAGGAGAAAAGTGCAAAGCAACACGCTTCTACTGATTTTAACTGTATGGCATCTTTCTCCTTCACTCTCCTCCTGGGGAGACTGCTGGTAGCTTCTGTGCCAGGAGGCAGCGAACATCCTTGTCTCTGGGCAACTTCGTGAGGCAGGACGGGACTGTAAGAGTATTCCCTAACTAAGACCCTTCAAGACTTTGGGACTGCCCAACGCACCAAGTGAGGCGTTGGCTCAAAGGGCCGTGATGTTGGGGCAGAAACCCAGCTAGGGAAGGTGCAGAAACTTCTAGGTTTCTGGATTGGCACAGGTGTGCTGGGCTGCTCCAGGTAGCCATGACGAGAGTGAGAGCCCTGAACTCCTGGGCCTCAGAGGCCGGGTCACTGGAGGGGAGAGCAGTCTCACACCCGTTGTTGCAAAGCAATAAATATATAAGGAAATAAAAGTGTGAGGCCCCTGCTGAGTGCCTTCCCGCCCCCCTCACCCCGGACCAGGTGGCTCATGGCTTCCCTGTCGCCAGTTACTGCTGGCCAGTGTCAGCCCTGTGGCCAGATCTGGGGAGGGAGCAATTGCCAATATGTGCTTGCTCAGTCTTAAACTTGGGCCACCGTGCGGGCAAGTCTGCACAATGGCCTGTTCAGCAGGGCCCTGAAGCAGACACACGTGGCCTCGACATGGCCCATGGGCCCCAGCACCCAGTCAGCCCCGAGGAAGGCAGAACGGGGTGCAGACCCCAGGCAGGCAGAGCTCCGCGGAAGTGTAAAACGTCTGCGGGGAAACGCATGAGCCGCTTGTCTCTGGCTGCAGGGGCGCTTCTGGCTTCTAACACATTTCCTTTGGAAGGAGACTCCTCTGACTGCTTCCCTGCCGGTTCGGTGTCCAAGCAGGAAAGGCTCCCTGTGTCTGTTTCCCCCTGGCCATGTGTCATGTGTTGTGGAGCTGCGAGCAGCAGGGCCTGGGCATGGCGGCTTAGAATCAGAGAAGAGAAATAAGATCTTTGTGAAAGCCACCTGGAGCTCGTCCCGCTCCTGTGAGAGCCAGGAGGGGAGGGAGAGAATGGGTCCTGGCCCCTAGGAGGGACCCATGGCCCTGCGGCCGCTGGCCACACTCACTTATGATGCTTGTCACCCTGGCTGCTCGCAGCCCACAGTCTGAGTGCAGGGCGATGCTGGCCGAGCCCCAGCTCCTTTGCCAGCCCCACCCTAGGGCTGACAAGCCGGGCTGGGGGCCGCACCCCATGGACCTGTTTTCCTGGTGGCCTCCCAGCCGACCCTTCTCAGAGAGCCGGGGCGGCAGCGTCCCACCCACACACGCGCTGGGAATGCGTGGGCAGTAGGCAAGCAGGGCTGAGAAAGTGCCCCCAGGTCACACCAAAGCGCACACAGACACCAGCCGTGGGGGTTTCCTGCTGGAGCCGGTTCCCGTGCTCTGCGGAGTTTGCTTGCTTCCCAAGGACGATGACGCCGACACACTAGCATGGGGGCAGAGGCCAGGGGTAGCCCCGAGCCTGGGAGACGAGACAGCGTCTTCCAGACCCAGCCAAGGTCAGGGTCTCCAGGAATTTCCCCAGCCCCTCGAGGGGCTGAGTGAAACCCAGAGGGTCTGCCGGTGGAAGAAATCTTCTAGCCTGGGGTCGAAAGCCCCACAGGAGGAAGTGGGCCTCGAGCGGTCTCAAAGATGGGGATGGGCAGATTTGGGGGCCTGAAAGCCAGGGAGAGCTGTGTGTAGTCAGAGCTGTGGGCATTTGCCCTGGGCACAAAAACACCTTCCCCACCACCGCTGGATGCCTGGCCTGGGGGCAGGGGGGGGGACTTCAGTCAAGGTCCCCCGCCTTGAGTAGGGGAGGGGCCTGGGCTCCTCCCAAGGCTGCCCTTCAGCCATCGCCCAGATCCCTGCTCAGAACAAACCACGCACCATGGACGGACCCCCCCACACACACACTGGCTCACAGTCACTGTCACACGGGGAAGGCGTGATCTATATAATAAACTCCTGTTACTTCCAGACCCCGGGAGGAAGACCGGCTTGTAGATTAATTGTATTTAGATTCTATGACTTTTTTTTTTCTAATCGAGGAGCACAAATTGCCGAAGATCACATGGTCTTCAGTTGGTGGCAGACCGCAGGCCTGTGTGATGACAAAGCGTGCCGGGCAGACCAGGGTTGGGGTTTGGCTTGAATCGGCAGCTTCCCTGGCTGAGTTCCTTGTCCAGAAATTGCTCCAAATTATCATGGCAAAGGCCTCCAGCAGTTGTCTAGCTCAAACTGCTGGTTTCTTTCCCGAAGCCCCTCACCGTCTTACTGACCACACCCCGGCTCCCAGTGGAACGCTGTTTCCCAGGGGGCACCGCCGCCAGGCCTCTCCAACCTGCCGGCTTGGAGCTGTGGCTCAACACCGGCACGTCCAAAGCCAAGCCCTGACTGCCCCTCCAGCCCCCGCGCCTCCCACTGTCCTCTGCTGCTCACCCCCGCTTCCCATCCTTCTCCCAGACCCCCCCACCTCCAGATGCTCTTGACCTCACCTTCAGAACCATCCCGAATCAGACCACTTCTCCTTCCCCCACCAACTCTCCTGTGGAGTCTCATGGTCACCCCCTAGTGATCCCTTGGCTGCTGCCCTCCCCCAGCTTCCAGGCCTGAAACCAAAGCCAGATCATGGCACCTCTCTGTTTAGAAGCCTCCAGGTCCCCCATCACACTCCAAGTAGAAGCCAGCATCCTCCAAACAGCCTCCAGGGCCCTGCCTCTGCCCCTGTCCCCTCCTTCCCCTCCCCTCCTCCTTCTCTCACAGGCCCTCTCACTGTTCCTCCAACATACCAGGCCCAGTGCTGCCCCAGGGCCTTTGCACAGGCTGTACCCTCTGCCAAGAATGCTTCCCCATGGCTCCCTCCCTCAGCTCTGTCATGATGTGACACTGGTCACCTGAATCAGCTTCCTCTCTGTTGCAAAAGGGGGAGAAAGTGTAACTGATTGTTCTGGGGGCTGCTAGAGGTGTCCGCTCTCCCCAGAGTTACTTCTGCTTGGGAGATAACCACGCATCATTGATGTCAATGCCAGCATAATTACCCAAGTGAAGAGATCCATTTTTTATTTCAACAACATGGGGCTGGGGGATGGTGATAAGCCGAAGTGATCGTTCTTCCCCAACACTTCCTCATACCTGTGAGCCGGTCCTGTTGAGGGCCCCTTCCAGCGCACCACCCACGGAATCTGACCTCACCCCTCTAGCCTGAAAGTCCATATTCCTCTCCCGCTCCTAGAGGATTCCCTAAGAAGCGGCGCTCTGTGCTCCCTGGGGGGTTAGGGAGGCAGAGAGAGAGAGACTCCAGCTTCTGCACCCTGACCGTGGTCTTCCTGCGTGCTGGGGGCCCCTCGGGGCTTCAGGACCCCTTCTCTTGGTCCGTTGCACTTCCTGGGGGTGCAAACCTGGGCAGACCCGGTTCCATCTCTACCTGCGTGGGGTTCTTATTCTGGTGGGGGAGACGAGCAATAAATTTATCTCTGAAGAAAAACCCTGGGGCTCAAAGGACCGCCTCAAATACCAGCCCTTCCTCAGCTGGATCCCGACCTGCCAATAAGAGAGGTGGCAGCCGGGGAGCCCAGTTACCCCTGTGCCTTGTTGCTGGGGGGGCAGCTTCCTGGCACCGAGGGGGCTGTGCTCACCCCTCCACACCCTCCAGATGTCCCGCCGTCCTACTGACCCGCAGCCTCCCAGAGTCCAGTGGGCAGGGGTGCTCAGGGAGGGGAAGAAGGGGTACCCCGAGAGTCCGAGGGCAATGCCACGCTGACATCAGCGAAGGCTTCAGCTTCCAGCAGCGAGGGGAGCGCGGTCAGGGGCCAGGGAGGACCAAGGAGGCGGCTCCTGGGCCCGGGCGAGACTTTGGAGAGGAAGGGGCAGCAGAAGGAGCACACTCCTGGGAGCACCTCGTGGCTCCCTGTCCTAACTGCCCCGCAGGGGCCCCTCACACCCGCCTCTCGCTCGGCCTGCACTGGAGCAGGGAGGCCCGGGGCTGAAATGAAGGGACGCCAGGCCTTCGCCTGAAGATAGCCCGAGATGGCCAGGAGGCGCCAGGTGGGGCTCAGAGGAACCAAACTTGGCCCTGAGCTGACAACTGTAGACACAGGCATCCCTTACTCTGTTCTTGCCACCTCTGTGCCTATTAGAACCTTCCCGTAGTAAAACTATCTTTTAAAGGGGAGACTCCAGCCCAGCCCCCAGCGTGTGTGCTGGGTCTGGACAGGGCCAGTGACCCGAGGTCGGCTGGGGCTGAGCTGTCCCTGGACTGACGCTCACTTGGGGTCTAAAAGGGCGTGGAACGTGTGCGACGTGCCGGGCCCCCTCCCCCCCCGGTCGACAGAGGACAGGGAGCCCCTCGCAGCTCGTGGCTTAGGCAGCCCTCCCCACCCCTGACCAACCTTCCCGCACGGGATCGGGCCTCAGGCCTAGGGCCTACGCACGTGGCTCCCGCCCTTCTCCAAATCCCCAGCACGGGTCGGGGCTTTGGTGTTCACACCTGAGACGTCCCCTGATCAGGGAACAGACACACACTGCTCTGGGGGGGTCCGGGCGGGTGGGCCTCCTCTGCGCCGCTGCCCGGTGTGGGGGCTTGACTGTGTGGACGGCTCCTGCCCTTCTGACCCGATGCTGAGCTCTGGTGGGGAGTGGGGGAGAGTGGGCAGCGGCTTGGCTGCCTTCCGGCCTGGGCACAGAACCTGGCACGGAAGCCTCTTCAGTCCTGTGTCCCGTTTCCGCTTACAGCCTCTCTCTGCGTCAGGGACATGAGGATAGGTCAGTCCACCTCTGTCTGCCGCCCTGTCTTTTGTTGTTTCAGAAGGAAAAAGAAAAAGCTTTCCTGAGAGAAAACATACCACACATTCCAGAATGTATGGTCCGGGCCACTCAGTCACCCCACCAGCCGTGGGAACACAGACCTCTCAGCCGGCACACATGTCCTACCTCAGGGAGGAAGGGCAGCCACTCGCATCGGGTCTGAGAGCGCAAGGAAGAAGGGCAGGAGGAAGGCGTGTCTAGGAATTCTCAGCCTGTTCTAGTAGAATCCGGCTGCCGCAGAGTGCAGAATTCCTGGTTGGGGCCAAAGATAGTAGCACAAGCAATAGGGCAAGAATTCAACAGGACTTTCATATTCAGTGACCAGCGATGAAACAGGTAGCCGAGCTCCAGCCATCTTAATCCTTAGATGAATGATTTGTCCCTCAATCACAACATATTAGAAGGTGGACACACTCCAAAGGCCCACGTCACCCCCTTCAGTGCCAGGGGCAGTGCTCATGGGTCCGTGGAACTTGCTTCAATCCTCCTCTCTGTCTTGACATTCCTGTAAGTTTAAGAGACATGTTGCTTCTAAATGATTAGGAAACACACCCAAGAGGTGTCAGTCCTTTGCAGGTTTTTATAAATTAAGTCAAGGAATCTGAAAATCAGGCTGAACATTGAAGGAATAAATACAGGAGCGGAGAGAAGCTATTAACTCATGTGCCCAGAATCTCTCCTATCCAGATCGGTGACAGTGGCTGTGAATTTCCTCCTCATGTTAATGGAGAGAAAGTATGTGCTTCTCTTAATGAGTCCACATTAGCCTTTCAGCATTTGGGGGATCCTGACGAATGGGAGCATATCTTTCTTCGTCCAGCTCCAGTGGCTGTTGGATAACTATGAAACCGCAGAAGGCGTGAGTCTCCCCAGAAGCTCACTCTACAACCATTACCTTCGGCACTGCCAGGAGCACAAGCTGGACCCTGTGAATGCCGCCTCCTTCGGGAAGCTGATCCGCTCTGTGTTCATGGGCCTGCGGACACGGCGGCTGGGCACCAGGTGGGTACATGGGGGTGCCCGGGAGCCCACGCCCACCCGTTCTCCTGTGTTCTCTATGCAGATATAGAGCTTTTGGAGAAGGTGGTCTTTCTCCTTCTGTCCACACGCCTCTGGGTGGACTTGGAGTTGTTCTGAATTGGCGGCAGCATGAGCCTGACCGGTCCAAGGTGTTAGCTGTGGGCCATCTCTCTCCTGGTGACTTTGCTTCAGCACTCTCTCTTTGTTTAAAATTCTCCATGATAACAGGTTTTCTTAAAAAGCAGCCTCTGGATTATCACATAGAGTTGGATTTATGATTTTTTGATGCTTTCTGCTCTGCCTAGACCAATCCACCACAGCCCACCCCTGGTCTGCAGCAGCCAGGGACTGTCACATGCCACAGACTTAATCCCAGGCAGGAAGCAAATGCTCCTCCCATTAGAAAACAGCAGCCATACTCTATTCAAAGTGGGTGGGCTAAAGCACACAGAAGGCATTTCCTGCATGGCTGCTGTCTGTGAGGTCACACGTGGGGGTGGGGGTCACTCACACACCCTCAGAAACTGGTGTGGGGCCAACAGAATGTTCTCTGCCACCCTCTGATCCTTTACAGAGAGCATCAATGGATAGAGGAGAGAAGGATGGGGAGCCCCTGGTCTCCGGGGCCATAGCCACCGCTCCTTTGGGGCCTCTCCAGAAGGCTCATGCATGGCCCACACTGTCAGAGTGTCCCAGATGCTGGCCTCAGGATTGGGGCTTTTCTCCCCCCTGCTTTTCCCCCTCCTGGCACCAGCCAAGCTTCTACCTCATCCAGATAGGACCCATGCTCACCCACTTGTCCCTATTGCCAGACACGTCTGTCCTTCAGTACTTCTCTCCTAAGGAGCCCTTCTGACCTACTTCTTAACCAAATTGTCTAAAGCCCTTTGATCATTCATTTCTCCCACAATAAGCTGATAGTGTTTCCCAAAGTTTGCCGTTTTCCAGATCATGTTGTTAGATGATTGGGGGCAGGAGGTGATGATGATGATGATGATGGTGGTGAGAGTGGTGATGGTGAAGATGGTGATGATGGGATAGTGGTGACAGTGACGATGGTGATGTTGGTGATGGTGATAATGGTGATGGTGATGATGGTGATGGCAATGATGGTGATGGCAATGGTGATGATGATGGTGATTGTGTCAATGGTGGTGATGATGGTAATGGTATGATGATGATAATGAAGGTGGTGACGGTGATAGTGACAGTGATGATAATGGTGAAGATGGTGATGATGGGACAGTGATGACGGTGATGATGGTGCTGTTGGTGATGATGGTGGTGGTAGTAATGGTGGTGATGGCAGTGATGATGGTGATGTGATGGTAATGATGGGATAGTGATAACAGTGATGATGGTGGTGGTGATAATGACAGTGATGATGGGATAGTGATGATGGTGATAACTGGTGATGGTGATGGCGATGGTGGTAACAGTGATGATAGTGATGGTGCTAATGGTGATACTGATGGTGATGGTGATGGTGAAGATGGGGATGATGATGATGATTGTGTGAATGGTGGGTCATGATGGTAATGGTATGATGATGATAATGACGGTGATGATGGTGATGATGATGGTGGTGAGGCCATGCCCGATTACAAACTGGACCGCTTTTCCCACTGCAAGACTTCCCAGAGCCTTTATAGTACTAAAATCCAAGGGGCAATCTCCAAGAGGGGGATGCCAAGTACAGAATTTCCTAACCTCTCTGATCATGGAATAGCCCGTGAACATTTCCCACATGGTCCAGGGAACACTGAACCTGAGCACCCAAAATGAAGGGCCAAGACAGAGCACTTGTCTTGTCATTCAGAACATCTGCAAAGAGAGCTGACCCTGAGATGCTTGGTTTCTAGGGGCAACTCCAAGTATCATTACTATGGGATCCGCCTGAAGCCAGACTCGCCCTTGAACCGGCTGCAGGAGGACACCCAGTACATGGCCATGCGGCAGCAGCCCATGCATCAAAAGCCAAGGTGGGTGACCTGGGCTCAAAGGCAGCCTGAGAACCAGCTTTACTGCCCAAGCAAGGGTCAGGTCTGAGTTTCACTTGGGAGAACATACAGAGAAGTGTTTCTCAAACATTAAATACACAGGTAGGAGGGGACTCTCCAAATTGTGATGGAAAAAATAGATTCATATGAGCCTGTCTCCAATGTCCTGGAAGAGCAAAGCCACAGGAGGCTGGGGACACAACCTCGTCCAGCGAACAGAGCCTTCAGATCTTTCTCTTTAAAAAAAAAAAAAATACATTATTTTTTTAAAGATTTTATTTATTTATTTGACACAGAGAGAGGTCACAAGTACGCAGAGAGGCAGGCGGGGGGCAGGAAGCAGGTTTCCCGCTGAGCAGAGAGCTCGACGTGGGACTCGATCCCAGGACCCCGAGATCATGACCCGAGCCGAAGGCAGAGGCCCAACCCACTGAGCCACCCAGGCGCCCCCAAAAAATAGACATTATTTTTTGGAATGGTTTTAGGTTGCCAGCAAAATTGGGTAGAAAGTGCAGTTTTCCATATGCCCACTGTGCTCACATGCGCAGTGCACCCGCCATCAACGTGGCACCAAAGCTGTGCATTGGTTACAGCTGACAAACGGACATCGACACTTCATTATCACCTCAAGTCCGAACCTGACATTAGGGGTCAGTCTGGGAGCTCCGTTCCAATGGGTTTGTACAAACGTAGAATGACATGACTCCGGGATTACAGATCCCACAGAGTAGTTCCGCTGCCCTGAAAATGCTCCGTGTCCTGCCCATTCAACCTTCTCTCCTCCCCTCGACCTCCGGCAGCCACTGACCTTTCTGCTGCCCCCAGAGTTTTGCCTTTTCCAGAACACCATAGAGCTGGAATCCTAGATCTTCAATTTTCAACTATGGTGGGGGGCAGGGGGTGGGGAAAGGTAACACTGAAACCAACCCAAGAAGCCTGAAGAAGGAAGCTTATCTACTTAAGTTGCTGCTCCTTCCTGACATTTGGATCCAATGGCTGAAAAGTCCTGGTCATTTTCTGGAATGTTCTCTCCTCTATCCATCGCACACTGACTCATCGTTTAAGGCAGGGCTCAGCAAACCTTTCTGTAAAGGGCCAGAGAGCAAATATCTTAGGCTTTGCAGGCCAGACATTCTGTCCAGACTACTCAGCCCTGCCGTCGTAGCATGAAGCCAGCACAGGTGATACAGGGACCAGTGGGCATGGCTGTGTGCCAATAAAACTTTGTGCACAAAACAAGGAGCGGCACCGGCCCTCCACAGCTGTGGTCTGCAGGCCCTGGTTCAGGGCCCCACTCAAACGCCACGTCCCTGGCCATCCTGCAGCCATGCCTCCTTCCCTGCTTCCCTCTGTCCCTTGCTCCTCTCTGGAGTCCAGACTGTTCCATGCGGCCCCTTCGTAACTTGGCCCATCCGTGTGCGGCTCAGACCCCACTTTAGCCGCTCTAAGGCCATCCCAGTGACTCCAAACCTCATATCCAATCGTGGGAGTTGGAGGTCACAGAAGACAGTCTCCAGAACATTCTCCAGTAGCCAACATGAGAGTGGAACCAACAGGCCATCCTGAAGCTGCTGGTGCACAGACGTGGTCCCTGTAGCGGCTGCTTGGTGTTAGCGTCGGGCCCCCCCAAACACCGCGACTCAGCGCACCAGCAGAGCGCTACCTCGGGAGCAGCGACACGTCTCACGGCGACGGGCTTGTGCCCTTTACACTTGTAACCCCCGCCCATGTCTGGCGCTCCACACCTGTCTGAGAGACTTCTGTCCGTCCTCATGGGAAGCCTGGCCCCACTTTCCACAAGGAAGGGCATCCCCGCCAGAGTCGGGCCCCCCTGCTCTCTCCACCACACGCCGTCACCACCCCGCAGCCGTCTGCTGGGCTCAAGGCATCCCGGGCCCCCAGGGAGCCCTTCTCTGTGAGTGTCGCCCGTTTGCCGCCAGGACAGCGGTTTTCTGGCTCTGCTTTTGCTCAGGGCAAAATGAAAATCCCAGAATTTCCTTTGAGACCATCGGATAGTAAGACACTTGTGAAGTTCACTTACCTTCTGAGGGAGAAGTATTAGGGGAAAAAGGATACACACGCCCCCACACACAAGCAACCCCGAGTATCCGTCAGCGGCTGGTTGGATAAGCAAATGTGTCCGTCCATCCAGACAATGGAATGTTACTCAGTTTTAAAAAGGAAGGGCCTCTGACATCTGCCACCACACGAAGGGACCCCAAGGACACCGGGCTTGTCAAGAGGAGCCAGACCCAGAAGGACCCATCCCGCAGGACCCCACTCCCAGGAGGGCCCCAGAGGAGTCCCGTCCCCAGAGACAGGAGAGGGCGGGAGCTGGGGCTGGGGTGGGGTGGGGAGAGTCCATGCTTCATGGGGACAGTCTCCATTTAGGGAGATGGAAAGTTCTGGAGATGGAGGCTGGGGGTGACTGCAGGACAGTTGTGAGCGTGCTTCATGCCACAGCGCTGTGCGCTTAGAGACGGTTACGATGGTGAATTTCATGTTGTGTGTATTTTAGCACAAGTTTTTAAACACTACACACGCACACGCACACGCACACACACACGCACACACAGCCCAAACTGAACCCCGCTCGGCTCTCTGCTCCTTGAGCGCCTTAGGGCTGCACAGCCGGGGCCTCATGGTGGCGCCGTGTCTCTTGCCCAGGTACCGGCCAGCCCAGAAGACGGACGGCCTTGGGGACAGCGGCTCGCACGGCAGCCCGCACGGCACGCCAGAGCAGGCCATGGCCGCGCAGAGCCTGCACCACCAGCAGTACCTCGGTGAGTGCCTCCCACCCCGTGGATGGGGCCGGCCGGGAAAGCGGGGTCCGCTCAGCTCTGGAGGCACCAGCCACCTCTGTGGGGCTGCTCTGAACAGCCAGCCTGCAGAATCTCTCTCTAATGACGCAGACGTGTTCTAGGTCAACCTTCAGGGCATTCCCCCAAATTGCAGAAGAGTCAGCGGGTGCCCCCAAAATGAGTGTGTACAAAATGACCATCAGCAAAAGAAGCAAAGAAAAGGAAATGCCCATTGGAAAGAAGACTGGATGTATTTTAAAACCTGTTGCCTGGGGACTTGGCTGCCCTCCTCGGTTCTCTTCCCGAGGTCCCTGGAGCATTTAGGGTGCTCAGGACTCCTTACAACTGGCTCTGCGTCCTGGTGGCCTGACCCACAGCTGCCTGGCCCTTCCCTGCGAGACCCCCTCCCCTGCCGGCCCCACACCTGACTCTCAGCTCGTGCCCAGGGAGGCTTGCTGAGGCCTCGATCACAGACACACACACCGAAGATGGCTGTGGCCTTTGGGTATATGTAGTGTGTTTTTCGAGCCCAGAGAGAGCCCTTAAGGGAAGCAACTTGGGACAGCCACAGCCGGCCCCTCCCCAGACTCGCTGCCCTGGGTGGCCCCCAGGCTGGGGGGATGGGAGCGCCCGTGGAGTGCGGGACCTGGGCTCAGGGCTCATCTGTGTCAGTGTATTATTCACTGTCCTCGGGAGATGACAGTGTTGTCCCCTATTCTGTCCCTGAAAAAAAACCAAAGCTTCAAAGTTGTCAGACCCAGGGCTGGGGGTGGTGCGGGTCACTGGCAACCCTGACCCGAATCCCCCAGCACCTGCGCCTGCTGCCTATGGCCCTTCTGCAGCTCTGCGACCCCATTTTCCTCCCAGATGTGTCTCACGTCTTCCCGGAGTTCCCGGCACCCGACCTGGGCGGCGTCCTGCTGCAGGAAAGCATCTCGCCACACGACGTCAAGGCCCTGCAGCTGCTCTACCGGCGGCACTGCGAGGTGAACACCGGGGGGACCCTGAGCCTGGGCCCCGGGGTGGGGGTAGGGCCGGGTGGAGCGCAGAGCGAGCCTCCCACCCCGCCCCAGTGGGGCGCATCAGCTTCCCACGTCGCCAGCACCGCCAAACTCTCAGACCATCAGGTGTCCCTGGGTGACCCCGAGGAGGTGGGAGCGGCCCCCTGCTTCTTCTTATGGTGTCGCTCCTGACTTCAAAGCACCCCACTGCTCCTGTCACAGCTGCCTGCTTGGCATGTCCCGACGACACGTGATGGGCCACTTTAACATGCACATCCGTGAGGTCGACGGGCTGTGTTTATTCACAGGCAACTTTGGACGTCGTGGTGAACCTCCAGTTTCACTACATTGAGAAGCTGTGGCTTTCCTTCTGGAATTCGAAAGCCTCCTCGGGTGATGGCCCTGCCTCTCTACCTGCCAGGTAACAACTTTCGTCGCCCCCCTGCCCCCCCGCCCGTCCCCAGGGAGCGCTCTGGCTCCTTTCCCAGGACCCCAGGGCTAACCTACAGGCTGGGGACACCCACATGGTGACCCACAGACAAATGGGTCCCTTTCCCAGAACTGGCGCTCAGAACCCCCCGCCTCTGTGTGTGTGTGTGTGTGTGTGTGTGTGTGTGTGTGTGTGTGGTTTCCATGCTATGCGTTCCCCATCCCCTTGCTTCCGCACGAGGGACCATAGAGGGAACCCTGTGCCGTCCCAAACAGAGGACGCGTCATCCCCTGGCCACAAGCAGGGAGGTGGGCAGCACGGGCCCGCCAGGGAATTGGAGGCGGGGAGGGGTCCATCCCGGGGGCCCTCTGCCACCCTGCAGGCTGCGGCTCACCCCGGCTCTCCCATTCCCCACAGCGATGGGGAGCCCGAAGGCGCCGTCCTCCCAAAGGACAAGCTGGTGTCTCTGTGTAAATGCGAGCCCATTCTCAAGTGGATGAGGGACTGCGACCACATCCTGTACCAGGCCCTGGTGGAGATCCTCATCCCCGACGTGCTGCGGCCGGTGCCCAGTAAGCAGGGCTGCTGGCTGCTGCTCTCTCTGCCACCCCTGTGCTTTCCTTGCCCCCCACCCCCCGGGAACGAGGCTGCAGGGAGGCCTACCACCCTCGGGTTGCCGCCCGCCCGTGCTGGCTCGGTGCTGAGGGGCTCCCAGTGACATGCCAGCCTCTGAGTTCCTCTGGGGCCCGGGATGCCCCGCAGAAGATCCCTAGAGGGTGGACGGAGGTCACAGAACAGCCCTACCCTTGTCGGCAGGGTTGCTGAAAGCCCTGGAGAGGGTCTCGATCCACTGTGCCCCTCTGCCCCCCAGGACCACCTGTGGGCCCCTCCCCCAGCAGTGACACGCACCCCCTTCCCCCCACGGGGCACACCCTGCCAGCCCCTTACAGGCTTTCCCTTGGGCCCCCAGGCTCCTGAGGAACCTAGGCCCCGAGGCCTCGCTCTTGATGAAAGACTGAGGGGTGGGGAGTGGCCCGTGGGTACACCTGGTGGGGCCCTGTCGATATTTGCGCCCGTGGGCACGACAGAAACTTCGGACTTTCTTGATGAACCGGTGTGCTGCTTTTGGGCCAGAAAATGGGAAACAGCCAAACCATCGCGTTTCTCCTTCGGGCTTGCCTGCCGGACACTGTTCACGGCGGCGCTCGGTTAGAGTCTCTGTGTTAAGGTTTGAGTCGGGGTAGATTTATTTTCACATTTTTGAAGTTTTTTTCTTTTTAAACAGTCTGATTCGTTTCTTATTTGCAAGCCACCTCACAATAAATTTGGAAGTTGGTGGAGGATATGTATGTGCATGTGTGTGGATCGGGGCTTCTCCACGGCACTGTGGACTGGTCCCTGGCATGGGGGGGGCGTCCTGGGCACTCTGGGGGTTTGAGCCTGGCCCGCTCCATGCCGGGAGCTCCCCGCATTGTTGTGCCGGCCACAGATGTCTGCGCACATCCCCCAGCGTCCCCTGGGGGCAGAGTCATGCTGGGTGAGGAAATCACGTAGGCAGGAGGGAGAGGAACGGAGATGAAGGCCCCAGGCGGCCCCCAGTCCTTACCCAGCGCCTCCGTCAGTAAATGCCCGAAGTTCTGCTGGGTCTCGCGTCCGTCCCTCGTCCCTCTTCTTCCCTTGCTCTAACAGCTTCACTGCACCTGCGCCTCTTATGTTCCCGCTGATCCTGATCAGGATCAAGACCCTTTCCCACTGTAACTATCGCGGCTTGTGTCTCCCAGGTACCTTGACACAGGCCATCCGTAATTTTGCCAAGAGTCTGGAAGGCTGGCTGACAAATGCCATGAGAGACTTCCCGCAGCAGGTCGTCCAGACCAAGGTAACCGCTCGGCTCTGCCCAGGCGCTGGGAAGGGCTCCGGGAGGGGCTCTGCCCCAGGCAAAGCAGGCTGCCCCCGAGGGTCCTGAGGCCCATGAGTCCCCCCCCACCCCGCCCAGGAAGCCTCGTGGATGCTGGCGCTGTGGGACGGACACCAGCAGGGAGGGGCACGACGGAAGCTGTCATTTGCTGTGACGCATTTGGGTGGACACATGGAATGTCCCTGTGCGCCTCATAGGAGGGAGGGCTTAACCTCGCTGTCGCCCTTCCTGCAACAGTCTTGCCACAAAGCAGAATTTAAAATGTGCAGAGCGGGCCTCCATGCACAGGAGAGCGTGACCGCTGCTCTCGCACGCGTCTCTTAGAGACCTGCGTACAGGTGAGGCCACGTCCTGAGCATCGGGCCTCCCTGACCGCGGTCTGGAAGGGTCTGTTAGACCGGTGACTCTCAAACCTCAGGGTGCGTAGGAGTTGCCAAGGTCATGGTTAAAATCGCAGAGTCCCAGGCCCCACCACCACAAAGCCTGATCCGGTGACCCGGAGAAGTCTGTATTCCCCGGCCCTGGCCACTCGAGAGAGCTGAAGGAATTCTAGAATAGCAGCATAAGCACCCTGTCCTGAGGGCCACCTCACCGAGGCTATGGCATCTGCTCTAGATGCCGAGACGCCTCGGTGAGGTTCGTACCCTCCGTTTAGTCTCGCTCGTGGGTCCTGAGACTGTGGGCAGGGTGTGTCCCTCTGCTCCCTCCCCTCTGCACTGTCCTGGAGCCCAGGCGCCCTCCTTGGGGCCTGGAGAAGAGAGAACCAGCTCTCCCCCGGGCTCTCACCACCCCCCACCTTACCTCTGCACCTCCTGCCCCTCCCCCGGCCACAGGTGGGCGTGGTCAGCGCCTTCGCCCAGACCCTGCGCAGGTACACGTCCCTCAACCACCTGGCGCAGGCGGCGCGCGCCGTGCTGCAGAACACCTCCCAGATCAACCAGATGCTCAGCGACCTCAACCGCGTGGACTTCGCCAACGTGCAGGTGACTTTCTCCAACGCCATCCCCCACCGCCTGGGATGGAGCCCGGGGACCCAGCTGTAGATCAGCGACGCCGTGTGTGTGTGTGTGTGTGTCCCTGTCCCATCCCGCTGGCCTCGCCTTCCAGCCTCCAGAAAAGTGCTCAAAACCATAAAACGCAACCAGCCGCAAAACCCGGTGGGTGTGAGAACAGGGTCAGGGCGGAAGCCCCCTGTAGCCCACCCAGGGGCCCCGGCCCTCCAGGAGCTGGGACCCACACCCTGGTCCGCCCTCTTTAAGAATCTACCTTCCTGGGCGCCTGGGTGGCTCAGTGGGTTAAGCCGCTGCCTTCGGCTCAGGTCATGATCTCAGGGTCCTGGGATCGAGTCCCGCATCGGGCTCTCTGCTCAGCGGGGAGCCTGCTTCCCCCTCTCTCTCTGCCTGCCTCTCTGCCTACTTGTGATCTCTCTGTCAAATAAATAAAATCTTAAAAAAAAAAAAGAATCTACCTTCCTGCTGTCGTCTTCACAGCTGTCTCGTCTGGGCTCCGAAAGTACAGGCTGTGCTCGTGCGCGTCCTGCCACAGCGATCCTGGCGCCGAGTTCAGGCTCCGAGTTCACCCACTAAATAAACACACACACTTTTAGAAAAAGGAGCATTCAAAGTAAAACACCGCCAACGCACGGTGTGTAATCTGAGCTCTGGCCCCGGGAAGCCTGGGTTTACACGCTGAGAACCAGGGCGGGCTCCCTCTCTGGCCGCGGGTCCAGTGCAGGGGCCCACCCTGACCTGCCGCCCACGCCCCGCAGGAGCAGGCCTCGTGGGTGTGCCAGTGCGAGGAGAGCGTGGTGCAGCGGCTGGAGCAGGACTTCAAGCTGACCCTGCAGCAGCAGAGCTCCCTGGACCAGTGGGCCACCTGGCTGGACAGTGTGGTCACCCAGGTCCTGAAGGAGCACGCCGGCAGCCCCAGCTTCCCCAAGGCCGCCCGCCAGTTCCTTCTGAAATGGTCCTTTTACAGGTAAGTCCGCCTCGGTTTCCAGGAGAACTCGGGGAAGGCACAGTGAATGGACAGATGCAGCGTCCGGCCTGTGACTTTTCCTTCCAGACCTGCGCTCTCCCCTGGCTGACGTGAGGCGTCAGGAGAAGGGGGCTGGCGTGGCCTTAACCGCCAGGCCATAGCTCCCAGGGCCAGGGAGGGGAGCAGGCGGAAAGACCACCGCCCCCCTCCGGGTACCCCCAATCCGAGTTGGCTTGTTTACCTTCAGGGGGCTTGGCCATACAAAGCCAAGAAGCTTCTGAGCAGAAAACATCCCAAACCCCAAGCCGTTCCGCCCTGTCCACTGACTCGGCCTCTGGGTCCACACCCGTTCGAGCAACCTTTGCCCCCCACGTGCTGGGCTGTCCACAGCCTTGGCTAAGCCGTTCCAGATCCACAGCCCGCTGAAGCCGCCCGTCTCGCCCCGCTGCCAGAGTGCCGTCAGAGCGCCCGTGCACGCGGGCCCGGGGAGGCGTGCAAAGCCCTCAGTGGGACGGCCCCCGCCGCTCGCTCTTGCACACCGCGTCGTGCCCACACAAGCACAAAGCTTCAGCCCATTAAAAAAAAACAGGACAGGGCATGCTAACATTTTCAAAGTTGATTGGAGCAGCCCCCAGGCCGCAGGTGGTCAGTGAGCGAGGGGAGAGGTGTTTGCAGAGAATTTGCAGGAGAAAAACAAGGAACTGAGGTCACTGCCTTTAGCTTAAGCGCCACCACAGCGAGGGGGAGCCTGGCCCTTCGCAGCGGGGGCTCGACGGCCACTCTCAGGAGCCCGCATGTCGGTCCTGTTTGCTTGGGCCCCAGGGCATCGGGAGCCCCTGCTGTGAGGACCCCCTGCACAGGGGGCTCACATATCTCCTCCCTGCCTTGTCCCCTCCTGGTTCTTTTGCTACCACGGCGACGAGTGGGGAAGCTCTGAGGGGGGCCATCGGGTGTTCGGGTTGGGTGCCAAGTGATCTCATCCCTGTAGATCAGGGGTTGCTTTTTCTGTGGAGAATCAGAGAGTACGTATTTCCAAGAAAGAAAGAAACTCGTCAGCACATGACATGTAAATGAACAGGCGTGGCCCATGTGCCAATAAAACTTTATTTCCAGAAACAAAGCTGTGGATTTCAGGCACTTTTCACGGGTCACGAAACATAATTCTACGTTGGACTGTGTTTCCAACCATTTGAAACTGTAAAACGCATTCATAGCTCACAGGCTGTAGAGGAATGGGCAGTGGGCTGGAGCCGGTCTGGATTTGGGGCCACAGCTTGCCAGCCAGGCTGCAGATGAAAGAGGCGAAAGTTCCCTGAAGTTCTGTCTTGTTTGGCACCTACACCCCTGACTGAGGAGTGAGGCTGGATGGGAGGGAATCTCAGGAGGGAAGGCCGGGAAGGGCTGCCTGCTGTGGGCAAGTCGTAAGGGCACCACGACTGACCACAGGCCATTGGCTAAAGCTTGTGTCAGAGACACGATGTCATGTTTCCACGGTCTCTTGCTTACAGCTGCTGCCCTGCCTGCCTTTCCCACCCCCACGTGTCCCTACCGCAGTCACAAGGGACACAGGGGTGGTCTGGGTGGCTCGTGAGTCCCGGGGGCCTCCTGAAAAGCCTGGCTCATCTGCCTGCCTATAACCCCGTGCTCCCTGGAAGGCCCCCCAGCCTCTGTCTGCCCATCCCCCAGCTCCATGGTGATCCGCGACCTCACGCTGCGCAGCGCTGCCAGCTTCGGCTCCTTCCACCTGATCCGCCTGCTCTACGACGAGTACATGTTCTACCTGGTGGAGCACCGCGTCGCAGAGGCCACCGGAGAGACGCCCATTGCCGTGATGGGAGAGGTGAGGGCCCTCCTGCCCTGGGGATCCCAGGACAGTACGGGCAGTGTGTGTGACACAGCGGACAGCCCAAAGAGAAGATCCTTGCCAGAGGCCCGTGGGTGGGAAAGAACTCGCATACTGGAGGCAACCGACCTGGGTTCAGACCTGTCCTATGCCACCGAGGGCGCTCCTGCCCCTGAAATGAGGCCTGGAACACCCTGCCCGTGGCGGGGGATCTCCTGTTGGAAAGTACATAGAAAGTGTACCATTCTGACCATTTTGAAGTGAATGATTCAGTGGCATTTAGTACATTCAGGGTTGTGCAACCACCACTTCTAATTCCAGAACATTCCATCACCCCAGAGGCAAACCCCACGCATGTCAGGGGCCACCACCATCCCACTCCCCAGACGCTGCACCCGCTACCTTCCTTTCTGCCAGGATCTGTCTATCGTGGGCATCCCACAGGGGTGGAGTCCCACATAGCATGGCCTTTCGCGCCTGGCATCTTTCACTCAACACAATCCTGTCAAGGTGCAGCCAGCCGCGCTGTAGCGTGTATCTTTGCCTCACTCCTTCTGTGGCCAACGAGATTTCCTTGGGTGGCTGATCAGCATTTTGCTCTACCCATTCATATGCTGATGAACACACGGGCTGTTTACAGCTTTGGGCTGCTGTGACCATCTGGGCACACATTCTTGTTTGAACACCTGTTTTCATCTCTTTCGGGTACATTCCTAGGAGCGGAATTGCTGGGTTGTGTGGGGTTGTTTTGAGGAAGAAATGAGGTGATGCTTAGAGAGCTTTTAGTACGCAATAAGCCTGTCACCATGCAGAGGTCACAGTCCCTGTCCTCTTGGTGGCCTGCTTAGTGGGCACCACTCAGCCCTCCAGCAGCTCCCAGGCAAGATCCAGAAGGCGCCAAGGGGGATACACTAGCCTCGGTGCCCCTTCTCCCGGGGGAAGCGAAGCCTGTGTTAACTGTGGATAAAGGACAGTGCTAACATTCACCAGGCCCAGGCCCCTTCGTGGAGGCCCCTGACTCTGGGCTTCTCTCTTTCAGTTCAATGATCTCGCCTCCCTATCGCTGACGCTGCTCGATAAAGGTGGGTGTGTCCGTAGCTTTTCCACGAGGCTCTCCCAGGGGCTCTTCTTCCCACCCTGGCCTAGTTGAGATCAAGGCAGCTCCCGGGGTGGGTTGAGGGCCGTTAAGAGCTGCAGGTGAGGCCAGGACGGCAGCAGGTGTCCCAGTGATGCTCATGCAGGCCCGGACCCTGCTGGGGCTCAGAGGAGCCACCCTGTACCTCGTCCTCAGGTGGCTGCTTTGGGCCACCATCTAACCCTGCTCCCCAGACACCCCCACTTCAGGCCCTGGGCTGCCTGTGTCCACCTGCCCCTACCCCAGCCCATTCCCTGCCCCACGCCGTAGGGGGCGCCAACTGCCGAGGGGGATCCTGCCAGGAGTGTGACCAGCAGACACACAGTGGTCAAGGTTGGTCTCTGGGAAGAAGGCCTCCCTGGGCACCGCACGGCAGCATCCATGCCTGTGCACCTGTCCGAGCACGTGCTTCTCTCTCCCTCCCTCCTGCGCCCCACACCCCTCATCCCCGACACTGATCCTGCAGATGACCTCAGCGAGGATCACGGCAGTGAGGCCGACTCCGACGCCCGCAGCCTGGGCGAGCCCCTGGTGAAGCGGGAGCGCAGCGACCCGAGCCACTCCCTGCAGGGCATCTAGGTCCGGGGTGCCTCCCGCAGGCTCCAGCCCGGGCCTCTGAGCTCTACTGTAATAGTGCCTCTTAGATGGTGGGACCTTTGCTCTGACTCACGGGGGCTCCAGTTCACGCTCAAGGGACATGCCATTCCTCTGAAGAAAATCGTCGTTAGCCACAACAGAAGGTCACATCGGGCTCCCGAGTGCCTGAGCTGCTCACCCCGTGCCTCCTGGGTCATCTTTCCCTTCTGAGTGTTCTTACCCTCTCCTCTGCCTGGCCGTGAACCTCGGTCCGAGTCTCCACATCCCGCCTGAGACCTGGAAGGGGCCGTGCTGGGCGAGCCGGCACCTCCACATTGGGCTTCTCAGTTCAGCTGCTTCCAGTTTCCACCATTCTCTTTAAAAATTTGGATCCCAGGAGGGAAGGGTGTCCTGCAGCTGCTGGGCAGTACTGAGCGGACTGGTGTCCACAGAGCCCCCTGCCCTGGTGCCCCGTGGTGGGAAGGGACCACCTCCGTGCTGTGCCCAGGGCCTCCTGCCCTGCTGGCTGGGCCGAGGCGTGGAATCCGGCCCCCAGGAGCCCCATCTGCAGACACCAGAGGTCCCCAGAAGTAGCTGTCAATCACCATGACCCCATGTGGCCCGAAGAACAAGTCATGGAAATGGCCCGCCCATGCCAAGACATAGTGGTGTCTTCAAGAATCAAAACCAGAAGTTTTATCAGCAACTGGGAGGATTTGGGTTCTGTCCAAGTTCACGCCAACATCAAGCCAAACTGCTGGGTCTGGAATGAGTTTGTTCTGAGGGGGCTGGACGGTCGATGTTTCAGTGGTGCCTTCAGAGGGCAGCCATCGGGCCAAGTCTGCCTGGCTCCCGCTCCAGAATCTTCTGGAATGCCTGCTTTGGAATTAGCAATCCTGGAGCACTTCGACCCAGCATGAGTCCCATCTTGAACTGCTCAAAGTCGAAACTCTTCGCTGGGTGACATGAACCCCGAGGACTCGCACAGCCCTTGAGCTGTGAACACTCCGGATCTGTACCCACATAACACATTGCACTCGGTTAGCTCCGTGCAAGAGTCCTGCCCCCAAACCAACTGCAAAAAAGAAAGACAAACCTTGGTCTGGGAAGCACCATCTTATGAAATGCAATAGTTTCTCTTTTTGGAAATATGTTTATATCAATAGTTTTGTGCTCTAATTGTTGTTAGAATGTTTCTTATGAACATGTATATTGTGGTATATTCGATCCCCCATATTTTTTTTTCATTCATGCAGAAGGTACTAATGTAAACTCACGTGGCCTTGAGAAAAACCTTACTTCCCGACAAGCCGCGCACTCCTAGGTCCACCCCAGGTGTGCAGAGCGGTGTGGAGGGCAAAGACAGGAAAGGCTAGGCGCTTGTTTTAGAAACCAAGTCTATCATAATCACAATGTTTGTCTGGTTTTACAGTTTGAGACTTAGATGAAATCAGACAGAAAGAATGTCTTTAAAAATATATTTATCTCCCCTCCCGGGAGACATTTAAGCTCACGATTTGTGGGTTGTGATGGCCTGTCTTCTTCCACGTGGGGTGAGCGGTACAAACTGGGTTCCCACCTTATGCTCCTGCCTTTGCAGGATTCCACGAGCAACAACACAAGTGACGGTAAAGACATGCATCTTCCAAGCCCGTTGTCGTTTTTCGGCGATCCACACTCCAGCCCTTCCCCGCCACACACGGGTGCGCACGCGTGCACGCACACACACGCGCACGCGTGCGTGCACACACAGTGGCCCTGGAGAATGCAGGCCTCCCTCCAGGCCCATCCCCTGCCCTGGACTGCCAGCCTGTCCGGGCTCCTGCCATGCGAGGCTCCGAGGAGAAGCAGCGGCCTCCAGCACTTTCTTCTTGGCTCTCTGGGGAGTGTTCCAGAAGGAGTGGATTCCCTGAGCTTCGTTTAGCAAGGCCAGCTCTGGGCCAGAGATGGCAAGAAAGCAATGGTCAGCCCAGGAAGATCGGGACTATTTGGGAGTGGACTAGACTTACCCAGATACGGCAGAACAAAGCCCCGGCCCCAGGCACCGATGAAACCCTCCGGTTGTCCCCAGGACTACTCGGCAGAGGGTTGGGGGCCAAACTTGGGAATCCCCTAAGAATCACTTCATGAGCTTGTGTGAACGTGGCCAGTGCCTGGTGGGATTACCATGGGGGCTGGAAATCCGCGTTGTCTGGACCACCCCTGGCAGAGGGGAGGGGATCCGACACAGAGTTATAGGACTTTGAAGAACCCCTGCAGAGGAGACCCCCCAGGCTCGGGAACGAGGGAAGGCCCACCGATGGGAAGATGTTCCAGAAACACGGGACACTATTCCTGGTCAGTCACCCCTAAAAGTTGCTCTTCTGTGCCAGGCAGGTGCCCCATGTCCCCCAGAGATGCTCAGCCTTGGCCCCAGCCCAGGCCCATCTATCCCCAGTAGAGGTCCTGGGGCCCCTGGGTGGCGCTAAAATCATCTGCCTCCCTGGGCTGGGACCTCCGGGGGCCTGCACGTGGCTCAACGCTCTGCCGTCACCATCTTAAGATTCTCAATAGTTTTTGAAGAAAGGGCTCACGCTTTCATTCTGCGCTGGGCCCCAGGACAAATTTTGTGGCCAGTCTTGGGAAACTCCCAGGACATGACCATGCAGACTCCCCTTCAGCTGGGCGGCTGGGCCCTGTCCCTGTGGTGAGTCTCTACCAGGCTCTCAGAACCCAGCAGAACCCCGACTCGCCCCATCCTCTTGTCGTTCATGACCGCAGTCCCTCTGCAGCCTGACATCCCTGAGCACGGCCAGCCCTTGCACCAAGGAGCAGCCACCCCCAGCCCTCCCTTTCTGAGAGCCAGGCCCGGTGCTGGGGTGGCAGGGTGCCTGGAGGAGGAGAGCCAGGCCCTGCTTCTGGGCCTGCGTAGCTGGTGACAGAATGAGCCCAGGTGATGTCTCCATAACCACTGCCCCAGGAACCAGAGAGGAGATGAGCAGGGGAGACTGCCAAAGGCCCACAGTCTATCAAGTCCCCTAGAAAGCCCACAAGAGTAGGGACCCAGGGCACAGGGCCAAACAACAAAGGGAACCTAGTCCTACCAAGAGCCTCTGGGAGGTTCTAACTAATCACAACAACTCCATACTAGACGCTTCTATCCAATCTCCTCTTTTTGATAGTAGGTGTTCCCACATTGTACTCATGGGAAAATTGAAGCTGCTGGCTGGAATGCAGATATGATGGCTGGAGCATCAGCAGCCATTTTTAGACCTTGAGGTGGGTCTCCTACAATAAGGCAGGCAAAGCAGTGAGACAGAAGGAACCTGGATCCCTGGTGATCATGGAGCTGCATTACAATCCTGACAACCCACAGCCAAGAGTTCCATAAGCTGCACCGGGGAGGGGAGAGAGGGGGGCAGGGGAACCCACAGCTGTTCCTGCCTCTGGGAACTCTCTGGAAGCAAGAACTCTGAAGCAAGCTGTGAGGTGCACCCCCTGCACATACACACACGCTCCAGCTGTGGGTGCGCTAAGAAGGGAGAGACTCTCCCTGGCTGAGGATATCATCCCCTCCACCACTTTTCCTCCTACAGCTCTGGCTGCTGCCCGTCTTCTCCTGGCTCCCATTCCAGAAGTTCGTCCTTCCACAACTTCTGTGACCTTGTCCAAACCCAAATGAAAATGCTCCACCATGTGCTGCTGACTTGCCCCACAGCAGCCCAGCCCACCACTGCTCAGAGGTGTGTGGGTGCCTTCCCCTCCACATGGCAAAATGGGAGCTCAGCATCCGACCTCTCAGGCCGTCTCCTCTTGTCTCCATCACGGCGCTGCCCACCATCCATCCAACCATCCAGACCAGAAACCCAGGGCCACCTGCATTGCCCCCACCCTTCCTAACCTCCCCAAAATGCCCACAACATGGTCACTCTCTCCTTCCTCTTTTCCACTCCCCAACTCCTGGCTGGAAAGGCAGCATGGCGGGGGAAATAGGGCTAGGCTATGCGAGTTTGAGTGCCAACTCCACGGTCCCGGGCTATGCCCTCAGGTAAATTACAACTGACCCTTGAACAACATGGGGTTAAAGGTGCCAACCCTCCTTGCAGCCAAAAATTGCACATATAACTTTTGACCCCCCAAAAAACTTAATAGCCTACTGTTGACTGGAAACCTTACCAATAAATAGTCAATTAACCCCTGTTTTGTTTGTTATATGTATTATCTACAGTATCCTCAAAGCAAGCCAGAGAAAAGAAAATACTAAGGAAATCGTAAGGAAGAGAAAGGGCATTTACAGCACTATACTGTATTTATTGATATAAATCTGCATATAAGTGGACCCATGCAGCTCGAACCCATCGTGTTCGAGGGTCAGCTGTACTTTTTTTTTTTTTTTTACTAAACAAATCTTTTATTTACTACTTTAGTGGGGAGGGTGCACCGTTCCTGGAGGTACTGCAATACCAGGTCGATGCGTGGAGTGGGAGCAAGCTCCTATTCCAACTCCCTACTCCAAAAACCTAATATATTGTCCTTGGATAGATGACGTATCAGATATTAAACTGATAAGAACAGATAGTGGGTCAGCTGTACTTAAATCAGATTCTCCACCTCTACCTCACAGCCTTGTGAGCTTTAAATAAGTTAATACTTAGCACTGGAGTAAGTACTCAGTTGTGTCTCAGCCTCAGCACTGTGGACACTTGGAACCAGACCATTCTTACTGGCGGGGCGTCCTACGCACTGTGGAATGTGTGGCAGCCTCCCCGGCCTCACCCCTCCCTGCCAAGCACCTCCCCCCTCCAGTCACGACCACCACAGATGTCTCCAGACAGCACCCAGTGGCCCCTGGAGGGGGTGGGGCAGCAGAAGGGACCCCGGGTGAGAACCACTGGGTGAGAGCACTGTCATGATGACCAGTTCCCTGCATCTTTTGAACCTTGGCAACCACATCAGTTATCACCTTTCTTCCCCCCTCAATGCTCTTATTTCTCACTCCTGGAACTCAGGAGCAGTCTTATCTGGGGCTCTTTCCCCTTCCCTGGACTTCCCACCTAACCTCCATGCCTTCACACACACATGCCTGCCTCTTTAGCACTTCTCTTAATTGACGCCTCCTCCAGGAAGCCTTCCTGGAAGCTCTTCCACTAGATTAGGATCCTTTATATGCCACCTTTCCCATAAGCACTGTGGGTGCATAGCTCTTGTCTGCCTTGCTCGATACCGTATTTCCCCAAATCTAACACAGTGTATATGTAGGCTCAGCACACATTTAGTGACTGAGTAAAGGTTTCTGGGAAAAGGTGCTATTCATGGTAATCATGGGAATGTAGGGAAAAGGAGGAGAAGAAAACACATGGAGAACACTAAGGAATGGCCAAAGGAAAGAAAAATCCATTCAGGAGGGCACCACCAGAATTATTTTTTTCTAATCAGAACTGGGCTTTAGAAGAATTTTTCTGGTACAGTGGATTATACATAAGCCAAAAGCAAGGCCAGTTAGGTACTTGATAAGATGGTGTAAGTGAGGGGTAGGGAGTGGGGGTAGTGGAGATGGGGTAGGGGAGACAGAGCTGGGGAGGGGAGCAGGCAGAAGCGAGAGGTTCACTACAGCCCCATGCCCAACAGCACATTGAGTGGGTTATGAAATCAAGTTGGTGGGTTATGACCAGTTTTTTTATTTTAAGATTTTATTTATGTGAGAGAGAGACATAGCTAGAGAGGGAACACAGCAGATGGAGTGGGAGAGGGAGAAGCAGGCCCCCCCACGGAGCAGGGAGCCCGATGCAAGGCTCACTCCCAGGACCCTGGGATCATGACCTGAGCTGAAGGCAGACGTTTAATGACTGAGCCACCCAGGCACCCCCCCCTTTTTTTTTTAATGGACCACGATAAAAGTAGAAAACATAAGTATGGATGGAATAAACTTTACTTTGTGAAGTTGTTTCGGTATAATAAGTGCATATACATACACAAGAGGGCATCAGGCTGTCATGTGAGGCTAATGTACAATGTACTGGATATAGGAAATGGACTGACTACATGTACGTATCAAAAGCCACAAGTACTAACCGGTAATTCTCAGCCTATTTTGAGGTCATGGGTCTCTTCCAGAATCCTCTGTGATAGATGTTCGTGGGGTTTTGCCATCCAGCATCCATTCCACCTTCTTTTGGAATAACACCCTGATTCCCTTTTGAGGAATAACTTTTCTTCCATGGATTTAAATACCACCTCTATG